GGTGAGACCACATTTTAAATACTGTGTGCACTTTTGGTTTCCTTATTTAAGGAAAGATGTAAATACCTTGGAGATGATTGTTTAGAGGAAGTGCCCTAGATTAGTACTTGGAAGAGATGGGTTGTCTTACGGGAAACGGTCAGCCATGATCAAATGATGGAGCAGACTTGATGGGCTGAATAGCTGAATTTGCTTCTATATCTTACAGACAGACTGGGCATTTTTCTACTAAAGTTGAGAAGAGCGAGGGGTGACCTGATTGAAGTGTATCAGATCCTGGATGGTCTTGACAAGGTGGATGGGGAAGGGATGTTTCTTGTTGTGGGTCTGTCCTGAACAAGGGGAGTCTGTTTTAAAATTAGGGATTGTCCTTTCATGACAGAGATTCAGGGAGTTTTTTTTCTGAGGGTTGAGAGGCTTTGGAACTCTGTCTCAAAAGGCAGTGTCACTAAATATTTTTAAGGCAAAGCTGAATTGATTTTTTTGTTAGGCATGCAATTGAGAGTTATCTGGGTGGATGGGGAAGTGGAATTGTGAACTCAAACAGATCAACCCAATGAAAGGTGGAACAGGCTCAAGGGGCTGAATAGTCCACCTCTACTCCTAATTCATATGTTTGTGTAATTAAATCAGACAGTGTGCGTTCTCATGTACAGTGACCGGTTATTGAGGCTAGCAGTATATATTTTTGCATTCAGCGGCAGATCGTTGATGCTGGTATGGTATATTTTCAGAGACAAGGATGGATTAATGCTAGAGTCTCACTGAAACGTTCTCAAACTCTGACTCTAGCTCTGTGCTCTCTCTCCAGCCTTCCAACATCCTTCTGGATGCGGATTGTTTTGTCAAACTCTGTGACTTTGGTCTGGCTCGTTGCATTAATCAGATCCAGGAGGAGCAGGGGAATGCAGCATTAACGGAGTATGTGGCTACTCGCTGGTATCGAGCACCAGAAATCCTCCTCGCATCTCCCAGGTAAGAAGATGCAGAAATATTGGTGTTTAACTGTTGGATTAGAGACAAGAGAATGAAGTGGACTGGAGGGGTGTAGGAGCCCTGTGGTCTTCTCCTGCCCTAGGTTATGTTCTTAACAACATCATAACAACAAATAAAGGCAAAATACTGCAGACACAATTCAGGAGTAAGTCATTCAGCCCCTTGAGCCTGCTCTGTCTTTCAATAAAATCAGGCCTGACCTGATTGCTTCCTCAAATCCACAGTGCCGCCTACTCCAATAATCTTTCACCCCCTTGTTTATCAAGAATCTCTCCACCGCGGCCTTAATAATATTCCAGGTCTCTGCTTCCACCACTTTTTTTTTACAGAGAGTCCCAAAGACTCACGACCTTCTGAGAGAAACTTTGTAACCTCATCTGTTTTAAATGGGCGAACCCTGAGTTTAAATAGTGACCTTTAGTTTTAGATTCTCTTACAAGGGGAAACATCCTTTCCATGTCCACCCAGTCAAGATCTCTCAGGGTCCCCTAATGCAGTCGCCTCCTACTGTTCTAAACTCCAACAGATATATGCCCAGTCTGTTCAACCTTTCATCATAAGAGATCCCCTGATTCCAGGGATTAGTCTGGGAAACCTTCAGTGAACTGCCTCCCACATATTTACATCCTTCTTTAAATAAGGAGAGCAATACAGTACAAAGTGCTCCAGATATGATCTCACTGATGTCCTGGTGAAGCGTAACATCCGTACTTTTTCATTTAATTTCCCTTGCAATAAATGATAACATTTTATTAGCTTTCCTGATTACCTGCCATATCTACATAAAAACTTTTTTCAATTCACACACAACAACATGGGCTTGACTGTTGGCCCATGAGTCAAGGATGTGAAATGAGGTGAATTGGAGAGACAAGGGAGAGAATAGACTTTGCACCAATAAAGTGGGTGAGTGTTCAGGCACCAATGAAAATAGATTAAAACTTTTTTTTGTTTTATTCACTCGTAGCTGGCTAGCCAGCATTTATTGCTCATCCTTAAATGCCCTGGAACTGAATGGTTTGCTGGGCCATTTCAGATGGTGGTTGTGAAACATCCACGTTGCTGTGGATCTGGAGTCACGTAGACCAGACCAGGTAAGGATGACTGATTTCCTTCCCTGAAAGACATTAGTGAGGTAGATGTTTTCATGGTCATCCGTAGATTCTTAATTCCAAATATCTTTTATTGAATTCAGATTCCACCATCTGGCATGGTAGGATTTAAACCTGGCTCCTTAGAACTGTTTCTGCATCAATAGTCTACCATAGAAACATAAAAACATAGAAACAAAGAAGATAGGAGCAGGAGGAGGCCATTTGGCCCTTCGAGCCTGCTCTGCCATTCTTCATGATCATGGCTGATCATCCAACTCAATAGCCTAATCCTGCTTTTTCCCCATAACCTTTGATCCCATTCGCCCCAAGTGCTATATCTAGTCGCCTCTTGAATACATTCAATGTTTTCATATCACCTACTTCCTGTGGTAATGAATTCCACAGGTTCACCACTCTTTGGGTGAAGAAATGTCTCCTCATCTCTGTCCTGAATCATGTACCCTGAATCCTCAGACTGTAACCCCTGGTTCTGGACACACCCACCATCGGGAACATCCTCCCTGCATCTACCCTGTCCAGTCCTGTTAGAATTTTATAAGTCTCTATGAGAATCCCCCCTCATTCGTCTGAACTCTAGCGAAAACAATCCTAACCTAGTCAATCTCTCCTCATACGTCAGACCCACCATCCCCAGAATCAGCCTGGTAAACCTTCCCTGCACTTCCTTGAGAGCAAGAGCATCCTTCCTTGGAAAAGGAGACCAAAACTGCACACAATATTCCAGGTGTGGTCTCACCAAGGCCCTGTATAACTGCAACAACACATCCCTGCTCCTGTACTCGAAACCTCTCGCGATGAAGGCCAACATGCCATTTACCTTCTTTACCACCTGCTGTACCTGCATGCCTACCTTCAGCAACTGGTGCACAAGGACACCCAGGTCCCACTGCACACTCCCCTCTCCCAATTTACAGCCATTCTGGTAGTAATCTGCTGCCTTGTTTATGCTTCCAAAGTGAATAACCTCACATTTATTCAAATTATACTGCATCTACCATTGATTTGCCCTCTCACCTAACCTGTCCAGATCATCATTGTAGTGTTTCCCTCCCTCTCTCCCTCCTCTAACCAAAAAGAAAGGGGAGAGGGAAGGGCGGGTGGAGGAGGAGAGAGTAAAAAAAATGAAGTTGGGTGGCATGGTGGTTCAGTGGTTAGCACTGCTGCCTCACAGCACCAGGAATCTGGGTTTGATTCCGCTCTCAGGCGACTGTCTGTGTGGAGTTTGCACATTCTCTTCATGACTGTTTGGGTTTCCTCCAGGTGCTCCGGTTACTTTCCACAGTCCAAAGATGCGCAGGCTAGGTGGATTGGCCATGTTAAATTGTCCATAGTGTTCAGGCTTGCGTAGATTAGGTGGGCTACAGGGGGATGGGTCTGGGTGGGATGCTCTGTGGGTCAATGTGGACTTGTTGGGTCGAAGGGCCTGTTTCCACACTGTAGGGATTCTATAATCATGCTGAAGGAACTCTGCATCCTCATCACAGTTCACATTCCCATCCAATTTGGAATAATCTTCAAACTGTAGTTGGATACCCCACAGAAGCTGGGTGTGATAGCAGTCTCCTGGCACCATGCACAGACGTCTGAGGTAGCTATAGCCACAGATCACCCCATAGAAGAATGTGCATCCAGAGGAGCAGTCGGGCAGTCATGGCCATTTGTAAACTTGTGTTAATTTAAGGAGTCTTCAGTTGGGGAGTCAAGAACAAGGCAGCAAAACCTTACTTTGGAGTAGGCCATTCAAGGTGATGTCAGGAAGCATTTCCTTACATATGGGGGTTGAATTCTTCCTGCAGAAAGCTGCTGCTGATGTTGGGTTTTGATTGAAAATTTCAATTGTAATTGCTATGTTTTAGCTAGATGTTGGTGTGGCTGGATAGAGTTGTAGAAATACTGTTATCTATTTGAGTGGCAGAATCGACACATGGGGCTAAATGACATTTTTTTCGGTTGGTTCATGGGATGTGGCTGTCACCCCCAGAAGCCAGCATTTATTGTCCATCTCTGATTGGCCTTGAAAAGTTAGTGGTGAGCCACCAGCTTGAGACAGTACTGTGTGACTTATGAGGCCATTTCATAGGTCCATTTATGATCAATCACTGAGCGGAGATTGACTCACTGACTGCTGCTTGATTATGGTTTGTATGTAACATTCCTCAAGTTGAATGTGTCTTTTTACACAGATACACAAAAGGCGTGGACATGTGGAGCATTGGATGTATTCTAGGAGAGATGTTGCTTGGGAAACCACTTTTTCCAGGAACTTCCTCAATAAATCAAATCGAAAGAATCATGAGTGTAATTCCAGCACCTTCCAAGGAAGGTACATTCACCATTTAACAAACTTACATCATGTTGTGTTGTAGCACAGTGGACTGATGGACCAGGAACCACATTGTCCATTGCCTCCCATTTCCCCAAGGTGTGAATAATTCAAATATTCACTCATCATCTCCTACCTGCAGGATTGTAACCGAAGCCAGTCAGTGTGCTGGGTTTAGAGGGCAGAGGAATCCTATCACATGATTGTGAGAAACTGTCCTGACTTTGTCGTCCCAACTCCATGGGAGACCCATTGGTGGGGTGCGGTGTCGGTGTGGGTGGAACAAGAATGTCTTGCTCTGTCCCATTAATAACTCCACAGGCAGTGGTTCCATGGGTAACTACTGCTTCTCTCTTGTCGCAGACATCCTGTCCATTAACTCCGATTACGGGGCCTCGGTTGTTCAGAAGGTGTTGAGCAGGTGGGTGAGTTGTTTACACACACTATTACTGTGAAGCATGTTACTTATTTACAAAATCAATTCCAAGATCTTCTCTTTGCCCACAGGCCCAGGTCTTCAATCGATCTGCTCCTGCCCAGCACCACACCACCAGACGCTCTGGACCTGCTGAATAAACTGCTGGTATTTAATCCAGACTGTCGGCTGACTGCTGAGGAGAGCCTCTCACACCCCTATGTCAACAGGTATCAGCAGGGAACCAAGGGCACTGAGCTGCCTGGGAAACCAAGAGAGGATCTGAGATTCCGGAAATGGGCAATAAACTGAGAGGGATTGAGATTCCAAACAATAGGAATAAACCAAGAGAGGGAACTCAGATTCCCGACATCGGGTATAACTGAAAGGTGGACTGACACTAGCAATAAACCGAGGTGGGGCGGAGATTCCCTAACTCAAAATAAAAACCTTAAGATAGAGGAGCAGAAGAAGGCCATTCAGCCTGTGTTAAATCCACTACCTTCCAAGAGAGTGAATTCCTCCTCATCTCTGTCTTAAATGTGCAACAGCTTTCTCTTAGATTATGCCCTCTGGTCTTAGACTGTCCATCAAGGGGATATATCTTTCCACATCTGTCCTGTTAGGTCCCCTAGAAATATTGTGTGTTTCAAAAAGCTGTCTTCTCATTCTTCCAAACTCCAATGCATTACAAGTCAATGTTCTGTAGGAGGAGGCGATAACCTAGTAGGACTATTGCTAGACCAGTAATTGTAAGACTCAGGTAATGTTCTGAGGAAGGGTCACCGGACCGGAAACGTTAACCCTGATTTCTCCTTCACAGATGCTGCCAGACCTGCTGAGCTTTTCCAGCAACTTTGTTTTGGTTCCTAATGTTCTGAGGGGTTTGAATTCCACCACGGCAGATGGTGGAAATTGAATTTTTAAAAAATCTGGAAATAATAGTTTAATGATGACTATGAAACCATTGCTGATTTTTGTTAAAACTCACCTCGTTCACTAATGTCCTTCAGGGAATGAAATTACCATCTACCCGGTCTGGCCGACATGTAACTCCAGAGCCACAGCAATGTGGTTGACTCTCAACTGTCCACTAAAATGACCCAGCTACAACTCGGTTGTGTCAATCAGTAGAAAGGAGAAAAGGACTGAAACTGCATGGACCACCTGGCAACAGAAGCAACAACCTTGAACCCAGCCCTGTCATAGAACCATAGAATCCCTACAGTGTGGGAGCAGATCATTCGGCTTATTGAGTCTACACCGACTCTTCGAAGAGCATCCCACCCAGACCCACCCCCTTATCCTATCCCTGTATTTCCCATGGCTAATCTACTTAGCCTGTACATCCCTGGATACTATAGGCAATTTATAATGGCCAATCCATCTAACCTGCACGTCTTTGCACTGTGGGAGGAAAGTGGAGCACCCAGAGGAAACCCATGCAGACATAGGGAAAATGTGTAAACTCCACACAGAGAGTTGCCCGAAGGTGGGATTGAACCCAGGTCCCTGACACTGTAAGGCACCAGTGCTAACCACTGAGCCACCATGCTGGGATCCTGCACAGCCCTCCTTCCTAATGTCTGGGGGTTAGTGCCAAAATTGGGAGAGCTGTCTCACAGACTAGTCAAGCAACAGCCTGACACAGTCATACTCACAGTATCGTACCTTGCAGACAATGTCCCAGACACCACCATCACCATCCCTGGATACGTCCTGTCCCACCGGCAGGACGGACCCAGCAAAAGTGGCAGCACAGTGGGATACATTAAGGAGGGAGCTGTCCTAGGAGTCATTAACATTGACTGTGTACCCCTTAAGTCTCATGGCTTCAGGTTAAACATGGACAAGGAAACCTTCTGATTACCATGTACTGTCCTCCCTCGGCTGATGAATCGGTACTACTCAATGTTGAACAACACTTAGAGGAAGCACTGAGGATGGCAAGGGCACAAAATGTACTCTGGGAGGGGGATTTCAATGTCCACTGCCAAGTGTGGCTCGGCAGCAGTATTACAGATTGAGCTGGTCGGGTCCTAAAGGACAAAGCTGCTCGACTGGGTCTGCAGCAGGTGGTGAGGGAACCAACAAGAGAGAGAAACATACTTGACCTCATCCTTACCAATCTGTCGACAGCAAATGTATCTGACAACACCAGTATTGATAAGAATGGCCACTGCATGGTTGTTGTGGAGACAAAGTCATGCATTCACATTGAGAATACCCTCCATTGTGTTCTGTGGCACTATAACCATGCTAAATGGGACAGATTTCGAACAGATTAAGCAACTCAACATGGGGCATCCATTAGGTGCTGTGGGCCATCAACAGTAGCAGAATTGTACTCCAGCACAAACTGTAACCTCATGGTCTGGTATATTCCCCACACAACCATTACTATCAAGCCAGGGGATCAACCCTGGTTCAATGGAGAGCGCAGGGGGTGCGTGCCAGGAGCAGCACCAGGCATACCTGAAAATGAAGTATCAACCTGGTGAAGCCACCAAACAGAATTACTTGCACCCAAACAGCATCAGCAGCAACCGATTCGGTTAAGCGATCCCTCAACCAACGGATCAGATCTAAGCTCTACAGATCTGTCACATCCAGTTGTGAATGGTGGTGGACAATTAAACAACTCACTGGGGGAGGACGCTCCACACATATCCCCAAATAATTGATCCAAGATGCAAGATGGCATCATCGGAATAAGCAGTGTACAGGCCCCTTTGCCCAGGCTTATCCTCTTCATCTGTCTTTTTCTTTTTCCTTCTTCACCATCTTTTTTCACAAACTTACCTGATAAGGAGAGCTCTTCAGCAGGAGGTGACTTCAATGGGTTCCAGAGTGGCAGCGGCAGTGTCTTCAGAGGCAGTGCGGCTACAGTTAAGTCGGTCAGTCAGCTTGGGAAGCCTGGAGTGGGGCCCTGGTGGCGGCATGCTGTAACAGTGGAGAAGGAAAAGTTGGACTCTCTTTTAAGTTATTTGGTTTTGTTTTATTCTTTTCTAAATTAATGTGAATTGGGGTACCCATGTACGGGTGATGGTACATACTTTTCACTATATTTTACATTGAATACATGTGACAATAAAGGATATTCTATCCTCAGTGGTGGGGAAGCCCAGTACATCAGTGCAAAAGATAAGGCTGAAGCATTCGCAGCAATCTTCAGCGAGAAGTGCAGAATGGATGATCCATCTCGGCCTCCTGCAGTGGTTTGCAGCATTGCAACATTACCATTCTTCGGCCAATTTAATTCATGTGATGTCAAGAAACAGTTCGAGATGCTGGATACTGAGATATTATGGGCCCTGACAACGTTCCGACAATAGTACTGAAGACTTGTGCCGCAGTGCTTGCTGCTCCCCTGGCCAAGCTGTTTCAGTAAAGCCACACAGCAGGCATCAATCTGACAATGTGAAAATTGCCCAGCAATGTCCTGTACACAAAAAGCAGGACAGATACAACCAGCCAATTACCACCCCTTCATTCTACTCTCGATCATCAATGACCTACTCACTGGTGCCCTGCTATTATTCCACCAGGGCCACTCAGTTCCTGACCTCATTACAGCCTTGGTTCAAACAAGGACAAAAGAGTTAAATTCCAGAGGTGAGGTGATAGCCCTTGCCAACTAGGCTTCATTCAACCGAGTGTGGCATCAAGGAGCCCTAGCAAAACTGGAATCAATGGGTATGGCGGGGGGGAGGGGGGCAAGCTCTCTGCTGGTTGGAGTCATATCTGCCACCAAGGAAGATGGTTGTGGTTGTTGGAGGTCAATCATCTCAGCTCCAGGACATCTCTGTAGGAGTTCCACAGGGTAGTGTCCTAGGCTCAACTATCTTCAGCTGCTTCATCAAGATCCTCCCTCCATCATAAGGTCAGAAGTTCAATAGGATGTTCACTGAGTGTAAGGCAATGTTCAGAAGCAATCCATACCCCAAATGCAGCAAGAATTGGAAAATATCCAGGTTTCAGCTGACAAGTGGCAAGTAACATACATGCTACAAAAATGCCAGGTAATGAGTGTCACCAATAAGAGACAATCTTAACAATCGCTCCCTGACATTATTCATTGAGCAGGTCAGAGGCTTAGAATCCTGCAGGAAGAAACTCACCTGACTCCTCGAAGCCTGTCCACCATCTAGAAGGCACAAGTCAGGAGTGTGATGGAATACTCCCCACTTGCCTGGATGGGTGCAGCCCCAACAACACTCAAGAAGCTTGACACCATCCAGGACAAAGCAGTCTGCTCAACTAACACCAAACCAAACATGGGAACACCACAATCTGCAACTTCCCTTCCATGCCATTCACCATCCTGAATCAGAAATATATTGCTGTTCCTTCACTGGTACTGGGTCAAAATCCTGGAATTCCTGGATCTACCTGCAGTACATGGACTGCCATGGTTCAAGAAGGTTCGCCACCATCTTCTCAAAGGCAACTAGGCATTGGCAATAAATTTAGCCCATCCAGTGATGCCCACATCCTATAAATAAATGATTTTATGAAAGCCAAGGGATTGAAAGATTACATGGAGAAGGTGGTAATGTGTATTTGAGCTTACAATCAGATCATAAAGAATCTTTTTGAATGGTGGAGTAAACCCGATGGGGGTGCATGGCCTACTTCTGCTCCTGATTTGTGATTTTGTATGTTTTTAACAAAGTTGTAAGGTATTCCTGAGTGATTTCATCTACATATAGATTGGGTAAATCTAATGAGCTTGCCTGATCCATTCTGAGCCTGCAGGTCATGTATTGTTCATGTTGGAACCCATCCAACCAGAGTGACAGTGAACAATTTCTCGCTCCTGACAGGTTACTTATAGAAAGCAGGATACCTAACCCCTAGGAAATACAGCAATTCAGGAAGGCAGCAGATCACCACTTCCTCAAGGGCAACTTGAGAATAGGCAACGAATACTGATCCAGCCAGTGACAACTACACCAAGTGAATGAACAAGTAAAGGGAGCTTGGGTGGTTGTATTGCTTTAATCAATAGAAGAGCTCAGTTTGTGTGTTATTTTACTGCAGGTTTCACAACCCATTGAAGGAACCAGGACTAGATTGTGATATCGTCCTTCCTGTGAACGATGACACACAGCTGTCTGTGGGAGAGTATCGGAACAAGCTGTATGAGGTGATATATTAGTCTATCCACTGCATAACTCAGGACTGATCACCAATTGTCCTTCTATGATTTTGACCTTAAATTTGTGTATTGTGCCTTTCTGCCACTTTCTCCTTTTTACTCTATCAAAGCCCTGCATGATCACAGAATCCCTACAGTGTGGGTACAGGCCATTTGGCCGATTGAGTCCACACTAACCTTCCAAAGAGATCCCAACCAGATACACCCCCTGCCCTATCCCTTTAATCCGCATTTCCCATAGCTAATCCACCTAGCCTGCACGTCCCTGGACACTATGGGCAAATTGGCATAGCCAATCCACCTAAGATGTCAGTTTTGATGAAGGGTCACCAGACCTGAAACGTTAACTCTGTTTTTTCCTTCACAGATGCTGCCAGACTTGCTGAGCTTTTCCAGCAACTTTGTTTTTTTTCCCACCTAAGATGCACATCTTTGGACAGTGGGAGGAAACTGGAGCACCTGGAGGAAACCCACCCAGACATGGGGAGAAAGTGTAAACTCCACACAGGTGGTAGCCTGAGCGTAGAAGCAAACTCAGGTCCCTGGCACTTTGAAGCAGCAGTGCTAACCACTGAGCCACCATGCCATCCCCCCACAGATAGGGAACATAAGAGAGCAATCCCAGCATAGGAACATAGGAACAGGATAAGACTATTCTGCCCATCAAGTCTGTCCTGCGGTTCAATCTGACCCTGGCTGATCAAACACTGCAATGTCTTTTACTCACCCGAATCCTTACACGTGAGAGGCAATCAGAAATCTATCAATCTTTGAACGTACTCAGTGACTGAACTTCCACAACCCTCTGAGTAAAAGATTTTCTCAACTCATTCAGTGGCATCCCCTTTATTTTCAAATTGTGTCCTCTGGTTGTGGACTCTCGAACCAGGGGAACATCTTACTTATGTCAATTCTTTATAACCCTCTAAATATTTTACTTTTGTATGATCAAGTCTTTCAATGTATTTTCCAATCTAACTTGGCCAATTTTTGTTTCATGCCTCCAGAATTTCCCTTATTTAAATTTAACACCCTTGCTTCAGAATGATTTCAAACTTACTATAAAACTCTGACATATTATGGTCATTCATTCCTTAAAGGTTCTTTTACAACTAGATTGTTAATTTGCCCTTTTTCATTACATGATACTATATCTAAAATGGCCTTTCCCCTACTGGCTCCAATATTCCCTGTAAACTGTGTGGACTTGCAGCCGCTCTGATGTTCCACGTGTAGTAGTCACAGGCCCTTACGGCCATTAAGAAAATTCATGGGAAATGCTGGTTAGCTCCAGCCAACCAGCCAACCAGCCATCCAGCTAACTGACCACTGGCCTCAGGTTTAATACATGCCCCACCCTCCCACTACTATTTAGTAGTCTATAAATAACTCCAATCAATGTCCAATGCCCCTAACTGCTTCTGAGTTTATCCAAACAGATTCCAAACATTGTTCTTCTGATCTGAGATTCTTCGTTATTAATCTACTGATCCCATTCCTAATTGTAAGTGCAATTCCATCTCCTTGTCTTTCTTGTCTGTCTGTCCTAATGATTGAATATCGTTAACTATTCAGTTTCCAGTCCTGGTTGCCATGCTGCCATGTTTCTGTACAGACACTTAGATCATTCCCATATATCTGTTTGTGCCTTCAGATTATTGACTTTGCTGTGAATTTTCAGCTGGAGAGCTATTACAGAGTCATACAGCACAGAAGATGCCCATCAGCCCATCGAAGCTGCACTGCCCTATCTACACCAATCCCATTTTCCAACAATTGGAATATTGTGATGCTTCAAGTGTTTATCCAAGTACTTTATAAAGATTGTGAGGTTTCCTGCTTCAACCATCCTCCCAGGCAGTACATTTCAAACCTTCATTACTTTTGGGTGAAAAAAAGACTTTTCCTTAAATCCCTTCTAAACCTCCTACCTTTCACCTTGAAATTATGACCCTTTGCTATTTTCCATTCAACTAGGGGAACGGCTGCTTCCCATCCACCCTGACCATGGCCCTTATAAGATTATACACCTCAATCCAGAAGACCATAAAAAATAAGAACACAAATGTTCTGTTTGGTCCCTTTAGCCAACTCTACCATTCAATAGGATCGTGGCTGACCCGATAGTCCTCACATCCACTTTCCTGTGTTTTCCCTGTAACCCTTGACTACCCTACGTTCAAGAATCTATCTAACTTATCTTAAATATACACAAGGACTCTGTCCCCACAGCTCTCTGTGGCAAGGAGTCCCAAAGACTCACAGCCCCAAGAGAAGAAATTCCACCCCATCTCAGTATTAAATTGTTGCCCCTTTATTTTGAGACTATGCCTGTGGTCCTAGACTCTCCTATGAGGGGAAACATCCTCTCAGCCCCTTAAGATCTATATGTTTCAATGAGATCACCTCTCATTCTTCTAAACTCCAATTGATAGAGTTTCAACCTGTTTAACTTTGTTCATAAGACAATTCCTCCATACCAGAAATCATCCGAGTGAATCTTCTCTGACTGCCTGAAATGAAATGATACCTTTCCTTAAAGAAGGGGTGGCTCAGTGGTTAGCACTGCTGCCTCATGGCATCAGGGACCCGGGTTCAATTCCACCTTCGGGTGACTGTGGAGTTTGCACATTGTCCCCGTGTCTGCGTGGGTTTCCTCCAGGTGCTCTGGTTTCCTCCCACAGTCCAAAGATGTGCAGGCTAGGTGGCTGGCTGTGCTAAATTGCCTGCAGTATTCAGGGATGTGTAGATTAGGTGGGTTATAGGGGGATGGGTTTGGATGGGTGCTCTGAGGGTCAGTGTGGACTTGTTGGGCCAAAGGGCCTGTTTCCACACTATAGGGATTCTATGATATGATCCTCTATGAAAACTGCTCACAGTTTTCCAGATGCAGTCTCACATTATACAGTTTCAGCAAAACTTCCCTAGTCTTGTACTTCAGCAAAGGGATAATGTTCTATTCACCTTCCTGGTTACCTGCTGCCTGTGTGCTAGCTTTCTCTGTTTTGTGCACAAGTGTTCCCAAGACCCTTTGTGTTGCAACTTTCTGCAGTTTTTCTCCATGTAAATAGTACTCTATTCCAACATTTTGCCCACTTTTGATTCTCCTGTCTTCTAGCCTCCCTGGAAGCTTTAGACTTCCTGTTACCAGCTTAACTCCCTTTCAATTTGTGTTATCCATCAAGTTCCTGTCTCAGAACAGTACAGGCAAATCTCCAAGCATGAATATCAGTCCCAGTCCTGTAAAGATATAAATCATCCAGTTTAGCCAAGTCCCACCTAACCTGGACCGGACTCAGTTCCTCAGAAATCTGATGTACTCCAATCTCTAGCTCTATCTCTCTCATTGAACTCTCTCAATGAACTCTCTCATTCTGTGTTACGTCTCACCGGGGTAGTGCATTAGACATTGAGCCCTGCTGTGAAAGTTCAAATGCTTGTATTTATTTCAGTCCAGTCCACCTCATTCATTGCTCACATTGCAGTCTCCTTTACATTGATGAGACCAACAACAGACTGGCTGAGCACTTTTCACAACACCCCAACTCTGTCCATAGGAATGACCCTAACCTCCCAGCTTCTTGCCATTTCAAGAAACCAGTAAATGTCACGCAGGCATTTCTGTCCTGGATCTGCTACAATGTTCCAACAAAGCACAGCACAAGATCAAGACACCTCATTTCCTACTTAAGCACTTACAGCTTTGAGGTCTCGATCTTGAATTCAGTAAGTTCAGAAACTAGTCGTTTTATATCTGCCCACACTTTTTCTTGAATTCTCTTCTGTAATGGTGCAAATGTTATGTTGGTCTTCATTGCGAGAGGTTTTGAGTACAGGAGCAGGGATATGTTGTTGCAGTTATACAGGGCCTTGGTGAGATCACACCTAGAATAGTGTGTGCAGTTTTGGTCTCCTTTTCCGAGGAAGGATGCTCTTGCTCTCAAGGGAGTGCAGCAAAGGTTTACCAGGCTGATTCTGGGGATGGTGGGTCTGACGTATGAGGAGAGATTGACTAGGTTGGGATTGTTTTTGCTGGAGTTCAGACAAATGAGGGGGAATCTCATAGAGACTTATAAAACTCTAACAGGACTGGACAGGGTAGATGCAGGGAGGATGTTCCCAATGGTGGGTGTGTCCAGAACCAGGGGTCACAGTATGAGGATTCGGGGTAGATGATTTAGGACGGAGATGAGGAGACATTTCTTCACCCAAAGAGTGGTGAGCCTGTGGAATTCATTACCACAGGAAGTAGTTGATGCCAAAATATTAAATGTATTCAAGAGGCGACTAGATATAGCACTTGGGGCGAATGGGATCAAAGGTTATGGGGAGAAAGCAGGATTAGGCTATTGAGTTGGTGATCAGCCATGATCGTGAAGAATGGTGGAGCAGGCTTGAATGGCCGAAAGGCTCCTCCTGCTCCTATCTTCTATGTTTCTCTCATCCCCACCATCAGCCCCCACCAAGCCAAGTAATGTTTGTAAGAAAAACAGAAGTTGCAGGAAAAGCTCAGCAAGTCTGGCAGCATCTGTGAAGAAAATATTCAGAGTTAATGTTTCGGGTCAGGTGACCCTGAGAAACTGTCACGTTTGTGTCTTGTTTATTTGCACTTAGGAGCAAAGACCAATTCTCTCCCTTTCGCAAGTTAACTTGCCCACTTGGAATGTCTCTGTTTTTCTTTCTCCACTGTTAACCAACCCATTACTTTAGGCCTCTGTACCGAATACGGCACAGTGGTGAGCACTGCTGCCTCATAGCGCCAGGGTCCTCGGTTCAGTTCGACCCTCAGACGACTGTCGTATGTGGAATTTGCAGTTTCCTCTGGGTGCTCCAGTTTCCTCCCACAGTCCAAAGTTGTGCAGCTTGGGTGGGTTAGCCATGCTAAATTGCCCATAGTGTCCAGGGATATGTAGGTTAGATGGATTAGCTGTGGTACATTGGCGCTTAATGTCCGGGGATGTGCAGTTTAGGTGGATTAGCCATGGGAAATATCAAGTTACGGTATTTAGGGTGGGTTGGGCAGTGGTCTGGGTCTTAGCGGGATGCTGTTGGAGGGTTGGTGCGGACTAGATGGGCCAAATGGCCTCTTCTGTGATTCTGTGAACTGCTGTCTTACTCCTCTCTGCCTCTGTCAAAAGTATAAAAAATACGTATTTTCCAACACCTTTCAGTTCTGAAGCATAGTCATACCAGATTTGAAACATTAACTCTGTTCCTCTCTCCACAGATGCTGTCAAATCTGCTGAGTTTCTCTGGAATTCTCTATTTTTTAACCAATTTCTGGCCTCCACAGTATTTAGCCTTTATTTGATTGTTTTTGGTGTTGTGTTTAGATGATTCTAGAGAGAAAGATCAATGTTCGACTCCAGAAGCGCTTCCTGAAGGGACTAGAGCCAGTGAAACCGTCGCCAGACCCTGACCAGAAAGAACTGATGCCAGCCGGTCCCAAAACCATAGGTGTATCCACAACAGAGGGATCCATTCAGCCTGTGCTACATGGAGACAGAGCGCTCAACAATCCAATAGTAAACCGCAGCTCATATAATCCAATAACTCACAATGCCATATCATACGCATCCTCTCACAGTGAGTATCAGGTGGCAATGCTTGATCCTAGCAACAGCATTTACTCTAAAGCTCTATAACATAAGCAATTGGCATAGATCATGTAGCCCCTTGAAACTACTGAATCATTCAATATGAATATGGCTAATCTGATTGTTGCCTTGATTTCCTGAGACACCAAAAATCACTCTCCCAGCCTTAAATATATTCAACAACGGAGACTCCACAATTCTTTTTGACACAGAATTCCAAAGATTTACCTCTTGAGTAAGTAATTCCTCTATATTCCTGTGGTCAATTGCCTGCCTGTTACCGTCAGACTGTGTCCTGTATTTTAGATTATGCAGCTAGGGGGAGCTGTTGTTAGAGGTCAGTCATCGTGCTCCGGAACATCTCTGCAGGAGTTCCTCAGGGTGGTGTCCTCAGCCCAACCATCTTCAGCTGCTTCATCAATGACCTCCCCTCCATCATAAGGTCAGAATTGGGGATGTTTGCCAATGATTGCACAATGTTCAGCACCATTCGTGACTCCTCAGATACTGAAGCAGTCCCTGTTCACATGCAACAAGATCTAGCTTTGGGCTGACAAGTGGCAAGTAACATTCGTGCCATACAAATGCCAACAATTACCATCTCCAGCAAGAGGCAATCTAATCAGCGCCCCATCACATTCACTGGTGGTGCCATCACTGAATCCCCCATTATCAACATCCTGGGGGTTGCCATTGACCAGGATCTTAGCTGGTCTCAATGGCTACAAGAGCAGGTCAGAGGCTGGGAATACTGTGGTGAGTAAATCACCTCCTAATTCCCCAAAGCCAGTCAACCATCTACAAGGCACAAGTCAGGAATGTGATGGAAAATTCCCCACTTGCCTGGATCGGTGTGGCTCCAACAACACTCAAGAAGCTCGTCACATCCAGGACAAAGCAGCCTGCTTGATTAGCACTACATCCACAAGCATCCACTCCCTCCGCCACTGACGCTCAGTATCAACAGTGTATACTATCTACAAGATGCATGAGAACACTACCACCTACAAGTCCACCTCCAGGCTACTCACCATCCTTGCTTGGAAATATATTGCTGTTCCTTTAGTGTTGCTGGGTTACAATTCTGCAGTACCCAATTGTGGGTGAACCTATTTCATATGGGACTGCAGCAGTTTAAGAAGGCAGCTCACCACCACATTCTCACGGGCACCTAGGGATGGGACAATAAATGCTGGCCAGCCAGCGATGGCCACTTCCCATTAAAAAAAATGTCAAGAGAATATCAAACCAATTTCCTCAGCCTCTCATCACAGGATAAGCCTCTCATCCCAGTGTCTTGTTAAGTGAACCTTTAATATCCTGTCTTTGGTGAAAGAATATCCTTCCTTAAACAGAAAGAATAAAACTGCAAATGATATTTCAGGTATGGACACACCAAACCCCTGTATAACTGGGGCAATGCTTCTTTATTCCCGACCTCCAATTACTTTGCAATAAAGGCCAACATGCCCTTTGCCTCCCTCATTCCTCACTGTACCTGCATGCAGATTTCAGATTCCTTATGCTACAATGTCCAAGCCCTGCTGAACGTTGATAGAAGTTTCACACCTTTTGACAAACAAAATCTGCTTTTCTACTCTTCCGTCATATGTCACTATTGCCCACTCACTTAAGCTGTCTCTCAAACTGACCTCCTCACAGATTGCGTTCTTACCTAACTTATCAGCAGGAAACGTACATTCCACTGTTACTTTTGTATAAATATTTAACACAGATTGAAAATAGCTTCAGCCCCACACAGAACCTCAGATATTCTCCTAAAGAAGACAAACTTATAGTACTCCATAACGGCACTGACAAGGTGGCTAAACCCTCCCTGATAGCACTGTGGGAGTCCCTGAACCCTCCCTGACAGCACTGTGGGCGTCCCTAAGCCCTCCCTGACAGCACTATGGGGGTCCCTAAACCCTCCCTGACAGCACTGTGGGGATCCCTAAACCCTCCCTGACAGCGCTGCGGGGGTCCCTGAACCCTCCCTGACAGCACTGTGGGGTCCCTAAACCCTGACAGCACTGTGGGGTTCCCTAAACCCTCCCTGATAGCACTATGGGGGTCCCTAAACCCTCCCTGACAGCACTGTGGGGGTCCCTGAACCCTCCCTGACAGCACTGTGGGGTCCCTAAACCCTGACAGCACTGTGGGGGTCCCTAAACCCTCCCTGACAGCACTATGGGGGTCCCTAAACCCTTCCTGACAGCACTGCGGGGGTCCCTAAACCCTCAAGTAAGCATAAGGAAGGGGGGAAGTGTTGGGTATTCTAAAAGGCATTAGGGTGGACAAGTCCCCAGGTCCAGATGGGATCTATCCCAGGTTACCGAGGGAAGCGAGAGAGGAAATAGCTGGGGCCTTAACAGATATCTTTGCAGCATCCTTGAGCACGGGTAAGGTCCTGGAGGACTGGAGAATTGCTAATGTTGTCCCCTTGTTTAAGAAGGGTAGCAAGGATAATCCAGGTAATTATAGACCAGTGAGCCCGACGTCAGTGGTGGGGAAGCTGCTGGAGAAGATACTGAGGGATAGGATCTATTTAGATTTGGAAGAAAATTGGGCTTATTAGTGATAGGCAGCATGGTTTTGTGCAGGGAAGGGCATGTCTTACCAACTTGATAGAATTCTTTGAGGAAGTGACAAAGTTGATAGATGAGGGAAGGGCTGTAGATGTCATGGATTTCAGTAAGGCGTTTGATAAGGGTCCCCATGGTAGGCTGATGGAGAAAGTGAAGTCGCATGGGGTCCAGGGTGTACTAGCTAGATGGATACAGAACTGGCTGGACAACAGGAGACAGGGAGTTGTAGTGGAAGGGAGTTTCTCAAAATGGAGATCCACAGGGATCCGTGTTGGGACCACTGTTGTTTGTGATATACATAAATGATCTGGAGGAAGGTATAGATGGTCTGATTAGCAAGTTTGCAGATGATACTAAGATTGGTGGAGTAGCAGGTAGTGAAGGCGACTGTTGGAGAATGCAGCAGAATATAAATAGATTGGAGAGTTGGGCGGAGAAATGGCAGATGGAGTTCAATCCAGGCAAATGCGAGGTGATGCATTTTGCAAGATCCAATTCGAGACTGAACTATACAGTAAATGGAAAAGCCCTGGGGAAAATTGTTGCACAGAGAGATCTGGGTGTTCAGGTCCATTGTACCCTGAAGGTGGCAACGCAGGTGGATAGAGCGGTCAAGAAGGCGTACGGCATGCTTTCATTCATCGGATGGGGTATTGGGTACAAGAGTTGGCAGGTCATGTTACAGTTGTATAGGACTTTGGTTCGACCACATTTGGAATACTGCTAACAGTTCTGGTCGCCACATTACCAAAAGGATGTGGATGCTTTGGAGAGGGTGCAGAGGAGGTTCACCAGGATGTTGCCTGGTATGGAGGGTGCTAGCTATGAAGAGAGGTTGAGTAGATTAGGATTATTTACATTAGAAAGACGGAGGTTGAGGGGGGACCTGATTGAGGTCTGCAAAATCATGAGAGGTATAGACAGGGTGGATAGCAAGAAGCTTTTTCCCAGAGTGGGGGACTCAATTACTAGGGGTCACAATTTCAAGGTGAGAGGGGAAAAATTTATGGGAGATGTGCATGGAAAATTCTTTATGCAGAGAGTGGTGGGTGCCTGGAACGCGTTGCCAGCGGAGGTGGTAGAGGCGGGCACGATAGCATCATTTAAGATGTATCTAGACAGATACATGAATGGGCAGGGAGCAGAGGGATACAGATCCTTGGAAAATAGATGACAGGTTTAGATAGAGGATCTGGATCGGCGCAGGCTTGGAGGGCCAAAGGGCCTGTTCCTGTGCTGTAATTTTCTTTGTTCATGTTCTTTGTTCTCCCTGATAGCACTGTAGGGGTCCCTAAACCCTCCCTGACAGCACTGTGGGGGTCCCTAAACCCTCCCTGACAGCACTATGGGGGTCCCTAAACCCTCCCTGACAGCACTATGGGGGTCCCTAAACCTTTCCTGACAGCACTGTGGGGAGTCCCTAAACCCTCCGTGACAGCACTGTGGGGGTCCCTAAACCCTGATAGCACTGTGGGGGTCCCTAAACCCTCCCTGACAGCGAATTCATGCTTACCTTTTTTCCTGGTTAGTATGTACAATTTGTAAGTTTTAAGATATTAGCCTCCACCACCACACCCCACCCCATGAATCCTTAGGTTACATTTTATCATTGTCTTCTTATACTGAATGCAATTTAGATATCAAAATATGCTGTTAGCAACTGGTTCCCCTTATCTAACTTACAATGTACATGCTCATAAAACAATACAATTGCCCTTTCATGAAACCATAGCCACGTAAAGAATCATTTTATCGTGACACTTGCTATAATCTTTCATAGAGTCCCTACAGTGCAGAATCGGGACATTTGGCCCATTGAGCCTGCAGTGATCCTCCAAAGATCATCCCAGCCAGACCCTCCTGTAACCTAATACCTTCCTCCTCACTGTCAACCATAGTGCACCTGTCACACAAAGTCTCCTCCCACCACCCTCTGTCTCCTGTCACTGAGTCAATTTTGGATCCACTTTGCCAAGTTATCATGGATCCTATGAGCTTTTACCTTCTTCATCAGTTTCCCATGTGAGACCTTGTCGAAGGCCTTGCTGAAGTCCATATGAACTACAATAACTGCCCTACCCTCATTCAAAAACATCATCTGCCTCTGTTGCAGTGTCTTTTAGAACCTGTGGGTGTACCCCATAATGTCCTGGGGATTTGATGGATTTTAAGCCTTTAATTTTTTTGTGATACCTTTTCTCTGCTGGTAACTCTTACCTTTACTTCCTCACTCTTATTATCCCTGAGGTTGCCTTCTATTTCTGGAATGTAAGTCCTGTCGGTATCTACTTTGAAGACATACAGAAAGTAATAGAAACATAGAAGATAGGACCATTCGGCCCTTCAAGCCTGCTCCGCCAATCTTCATGATCATGGCTGATCATCCAACTCAACAACCTAATCCTGCTTTCTGCCCATAACCTTTGATCCCATTCGCCCAAGTGCTATATCTAGTCGCCTCTTTAAGACATTCAATGTTTTGCCATCAACTACTTCCTGTGGTAATGAATTCCACAGGCTCACCACTCTTTGGGTGAAGAATTATCTCCTCATCTCCATCCTAAATAGTCTATCCTAAATCCTCATTCTGTGACCCCTGGTTCTGGACACACCCACCATTGGGAACATCCTCCCTGCATCTACCCTGTCCAGTCCTGTTAGAATTTTATAAGGCTCTGTGAGATCCCTCCTCATTCGTCTGAACTCTAGCGAAAACAATCGCAACCTAGTCAATCTCTCC